TCCTCTTAAATGTAAACATGTTGATTGTAAATTAAATATTTTTGAACTTTTTAAACTGTGATAAACAGGGAAAACAGTTTGATAGCACCTCACAGGACTCTCCCTGTGAACTGTTGCTTTTTACGTCTCCCAAGAGAGGCTCGCCTCACAGCACCGCTCTGTCAAATCTGCGATTTCAAGGTATAAATAAATGAAATAAGGCACAGCACAAATCACTTGATAAAGTGACCAAACATTATTGTATCCATTTTATTACTTTTCTTTCTATGATCTTAGGTGAGGGCCTTGCCTGCCTCATCTGACCGCACGTCACTGGGCTACACAACACAATGAAGCCACCGGAGAGACTGACGCATGAATGCGTATTGAAAAAAAAAAAGTTCAGTTTGATAAGTGACTTGCTTGATATATATTGTTTATTTTGTTTTTCTTAACAATTAAGATGGTATGTTATTATCCAGTGTAATCCAAGTATGAGTCTCTCCCTCGACTCTCCCAACAAAAACCCGCCCCCCCTCTCAGAAAATAGTTCCGACGTCCATGGTCCTAAGTAGCTCTGAAACATTTGTTTTGTGCTTTACAATTCTTATTTTTATTCCTTTTGGCATGACATGACTTCTCTGTGGCCCTGCAGTCGCAATGGACACGTTGCCACGGAGACGTCATCATGGAGACGTCGTCATGGCGACAACTCAAAGCACCTCAAATTCCGGAATTAATCAGATACTTACATGTATGGACGGACGCAACGGGCCGTCAACATCAAGGTGTCAACATCGAGGAAATAAGACTCCACAGAGGAGAAAGGAGAAAGGAGTCCACAGAGGAGAAAAGAGTCCACACACAGAGGTAAGACAGCAGATGAATAATGACTAACCGCAGGGTGTGGCAGCTGCTGAAGCAGTGGCTGGATTATGAACAGGAGCTGCTGGACTCAGAGAGGATCTGGGAGGACAAACAGGAAAAGTGGATCTCAGGATATCAGGATCCGGAAGATGTGGCTGATCTCTGGAGAGAAGATGAGGAGAAGTGGTTGGAGGAAAAGCAATCCTCTAGAAAGATACTTGAGGAGATCCTTGGATCATCTGAGAAGCTAAAAGAAGGATCCCCAGAGTTCCTCCTGGAGCTGAATCATCAGATCTGTGAGAGGAGACTGCAGATGGAGCGCAGACGCTCTATGTGGCTGAAGAAAGAGGCCTGGTACCAGGGGAGAGAGGCCTCCAAGACCACTGTCATCACCCTGAGGAAGGAACTCAGAGATCTACGAGGCAGGTGTGAGAAATACAAACAAAGATTGCCGAGAGACCTGATGGAGTCTGATGCTGAGGTCCTTGAGTCTGCAGCTGAGGTCCCTGAGTCTGCAGCTGAGGTCCCTGAGTCTGCTGCTGAGGTCCCTGAGTCTGATGTCCAGCACCTGCAGCAGCAGCTGCTGCTGAAGGAGCAGATGTTGGTAGCTCTGAGAGCTAAGATGGAGAAGCAGGTGGAGCTGCAGCAGAGCACGCAGGCTCTGGTGCAGGCGGCGAAGCAGGTGGTGGAGGTCAGTGAAAAGGAATCCTTCAAAAGGCAAAAACTGCTGCAACTTGCCAATGAACAATGTCAGCAGTATTTTGAGAATCACCCTAATCATTCAGACTCCGAAGAGGACGTTCTGGTCTATAGTTTAACCACTGGAGAGATGTGTACTATCGACGAGAGCAGAATGGAGAAACTCAGGTCTATCTTTTTAAAGCTGAGGGAAAAGCATGGGGCACCAGGCTCTGAAGACGAAGGCTCTGAGGAGCCCATGACCCCAGAGATGGTTGACGCCCTGAGGACCTCCTTATACCAAAGAATAAGGAAAACGAACAAGCACCTCCAGAAATATTGCACATGGGTTTCCACTTTTTGTATAGAGACCGACAAGCTGTGTAAGATCCAGGACCGCTGTATCAAAGGCTTCATAAACTGCTTCTTTGAGTGGAGAGAGTTGAGGAGAACAAAGCAGACATGGAGCCCTCCTCTGAACAATGGGGTTAGAATACCTCCAGAGAACAGGTTCAGGAGGTTAGTTCACAAAGCTTTCATGCCACACACTTACACATACAGGCCATCACTTGAAGAGAACGATGGTTCGATGATTAAGGTGGAGGACGCTGAAATCCTTAACCCCGCCTACTTCCAATGGAACCAATTCTTATTGGACAATCCCTCCGAACAGGTGGAGTATTTAGATTGGGTTTATTACAGATACAGAGCAGAAGCATAAACGCTAGAGTTTAGAGCAGCTTTGAGAGGTCAGAGGGGCGGGGCATGAGGTCAGAGGGCGGGGCCTGGGGTCAGAGGGCGGGGCCTGAGGTCAGAGGGGCGGGGCCTGAGGTTATGTACAGATGCATTAACTTTATATAAAGTTTATGAATTTGTTTTTCCAACATTGATCCAGGAGGTCAAAGGGGCGGAGCCTGGGGTCAGAGGGGCGGTTCTGAGGGCAGAGGTCATGTCCAGATGCATAAACTTTATATAAAGTTTATGAATTTGTTTTTCCAACATTGATCCAGGAGGTCAAAGGGGCGGAGCCTGGGGTCAGAGGGGCGGTTCTGAGGGCAGAGGTCATGTCCAGATGCATAAACTTTATATAAAGTTTATGAATTTGTTTTTCCAACATTAATCAAGGAGGTCAACGGGGCGGGGCCTGGGGTCAGATGGGCGGGGCCTGAGGTCAGAGGTCATGTCCAGATGCATAAACTTTATATAAAGTTTATGAATTTGTTTTTCCAACATTGATCCAGGAGGTCAGAGGTCAGTGATAGGTCTGGGCTATCTCTGAGGTCTCTCTTTCTACTCTCTCTCTCTGGTCTGTCTCTCTGGTCTCTATCTCTGGTCTCTCTCTGGTCTATCTCTGGTCTCTCTGGTCTCTTTCTGGTCTCTTAGGGCAGATGCATGGATGTTATAATCTGTGATTCTGTCTCAGGGACTGAGTTTTTTCTCGTCTTTCCTGGTCTCTCTCTTTCTACTCCCTCTCCCTGGTCTCTCTCTCTGGTCTCTCTCTCTGGTCTCTTTCTAGTCCCTCTCTCGGGTCTCTCTTTCTACTCTCTTTCCCTGGTCTCTCTTTCTACTCCACACTTTCTACTGACAGCTCCTGAAGGACGGATCCAGACCAGACATGAAATATTATCAATAAAACAGCCTTTAACTCAATAGAATATGACTCGTATGTCTCTCTCTCTGCTCTCTCTCTATGGTCTCTCTCTCTGGTCTCTCTCTGGTGTCTCTCTGGTCTCTCTCTGGTCTCTCTCTCTGGTCTCTCTTCTCTGGTCTTTCTCTCTGGTCTCTCTCTGGTGTCTCTCTGGTGTCTCTCTGGTCTCTTTCTGGTCTCTCTCTCTGCTCTATCTGGTCTCTCTCTCTGATCTCTTTCTCTCTGCTCTCTCTCTCCGGTCTCTCTCTGGTCTCTCTCTCTGGTCTTTCTCTCTGCTCTCTCTCTGGTCCCTCTCTCTGGTCTCTCTCTTTCTGGTCTCTCTCCCGCTCTCTCTCTGGTCTCTGACCGAGCCCACCTCATGGAAGTGTATCGTCAGGTTAGACACACACAGTAAAAAGTGCATTTTAAAAACAGTTAAAATCCAAAGTGAAAAGCTTCATGGACAGAGGAGAGTGTGGTTATGATGTTCGTGAGTGGCTCAGGTCTAAACAGATGAGTTTTAAGGTGGATTTGAAGAATGTGAGTGAGTCGGTGTTACGGAGGTCAGGGGAGAGTGCTCCAGAGCTGGGGAGCAGAACGGCAGAAGGTCCTAGTCCCCATGGTGACGAGGCGGGACCAGGAGGGACCAGGAGGAGAGAGGAGGAGGAGCGGAGGGAGCGGGCAGGTGTGGAGATCTGGAGGAGGTCAGTCAGGTTTGGAGGAGCGAGGTTGGGGAGGACTTTGTATGTGACGAGCAGGATTTTGGATTGGATGCGGTGAGTGATGGGGAGGCAGAGGAGCTGGGAAACTCCAGGTGCTCCGGTTTCCTCCGGGTGCTCTGGTTTCCTCCAGGTGCTCTGGTTTCCCCTGGGTGCTCTGGTTTCCTCCAGGTGCTCTGGGTTTCCCCAACCACTAAAACATCCAGTAGACATTGACTATATTCAAAGCACAATTTATCTCCTTTAAAAGTTGTCCAAGAAAAAAAATCTATATTAGCATTGAACTAAAACATAGAAAAATACAAAATCCAATATTTTATTTCTCACAAAAAGGATCCAAATCTGGTTTTTATTGTTCTGTTCCAAAAAGAAGCTAAATTGGAAGAGAATTTGGACGATGTGGATGTTTTTCCACACGGTAGCATTCCTCCCAAATTGGACAAAATAATGTTAATGGGGCGGTTAATGGACTGCGGTTAGATAGGAGGAGAGGGAGGAAGGCAGTCCTGGTCGTGGTGTTCGAGGGAGGGGGTTGAGTTTCATGCATCCAGGGAGTGGGGTCGATGGGCTGCGAGATTACCCCAGTTACCTGCAGCCTCTGAGGGGGAGAGGAGAGTGGCGCATGGGGTGGGTGTCCGTGAGTATCGGCTCTCTCTGCGGAGGCTTTGTTAGTGCTAGAGATGCACGAGTTTTGGATAAATATCTAGTTGTGATTTTTCAGACCAACTTTGAGTGTGTTTACAAAGCCTGAGTAAAAACCGTGTTCTCTACCGTACAAAAAGAAGTGTGTAAACTTGTGGTGTGCGCCGATTTGAATGTGGTTGAGAACTCGTCGCCTTATTGAGGCCAGTTGACGCGGAGAGGACGCTGGCGCGTTTTGGCTGCCGCTTCTCCCACCGGCTATCTTCAATTCTACAGCTTCTTTGGAACTTTTACTGCCTGCACCTGGACACACTGCCATTTTTTTCTCAATCCAAAGTGAGATCCGACCTTTTCCAAACCGGTCTGCCTACTTCTGGAAGTTACAGCTGAGCTGCACGGTGGTCTGGGCCTACACAAACCCGCGCTACCTGGCAGCGAAGCGAAGCTAACTTTACCCAGTGTAAGCCACGCTCACCCGCCTTCAAGGTATGCAGTGTCTGGTCCATCTACTCACCATCTTCCCTGCTATCATCCTCGCTCACCTGCTGCCCATCACCTGCTCCACCATGGCTCTCCGCTACTCCTCCTTCCAGCTCCACCGGCTAACCCACTGCTTGCCGCCTCCCTCTGACATCGCTGCGAGCATCAAATATGCCGGTCTTCTACGCCGCCCCCGCTACATACATCGGGGCTCACGACGAAAGTTCATCTACAACTCCACATGTGAAAATAACATCTCAACAATACGATCCGTCATCCACTCCGCTTCCGCTTTCAGCTCTGCGCGTCATCAGAACGCACGTCAAGTTAACATACATAACCTACGGCCCATTTCCACTTCCGCCCTGACTCTTTCACAACAAAAGCCCCTCAAACTCTCGCTCCTCAACACAAGATCCTTAAACAACAAAAGCCACATACTAAATGAATTCATCACGGACACACAACTGGACTTACTCTGCATCACTGAAACATGGCAAAAACCCCTGGACTATTTCTCACTCAACCAAGCCACTCCACAGGGTTTTTCATACATTGACCAACCACGCACTAGTGGCCGCGGAGGGGGTATTGCCGCAATCCATCGGCAATCCCTCAAACTCAAGCCCCTCCCCATTCCAGCCATTCTCTCATTTGAACAACTGTCATTCAAACTCCTTGGCCCCACAACACAGTTTCCACAGACTTCCTGGACATCTTGCAAAATTTTAACTTCACACAGCACGTCGACTTTCCCACCCACTCCCGTGGCCATATTTTGGACCTGATCTGCTCCACTGGCCTACACATTGACTCACTCTCTCATACAGACCTTGCAATATCAGACCACCTGGCCTTATCATTTCACATCAACATCCCTAACCCCCACATCAAGCAAACCCGCACTCTCTCTTTCCGCAACCTAAATTCCCTCTGTTCCACCACTCTCTCAACCCACTTATCCCAAACCCTATCAACATCAGAGTTCACCTCTCCCGCAAACACTCCTGACCTGGTATCTTACTACAACAGCACACTCTCCTCCTGCTTAGACACCCTGGCTCCTATCAAAACCGCATCTGTCACTTTCACCCGTTCTGCACCATGGTACACCACAGAGCTACGCAACCTCAAAAAACAACGCCGTCAACTTGAACGCCTTCACAATAAAACCGGCCTCACTGTTCATCTCCAAGCCCTCAATGACCACACTCTCCTCTACAGATCTGCTCTTTCCACAACCCGCACTGCTTTCTATACTGAAATTATCACCTCTGGCTCCTCCAATCCCCGCACCCTGTTTTCCACAGTCAACAAACTTCTTAAACCACCGGACAATATAACTCAATCCTTTACCACGGAAAAATGCAACATCTTTCTTACTTTTTTCAAATCCAAAATCGACAACATCCACCAGCAGCTCACCAAAACCCCCGCTCCTGTCATACCTGACCCCTCTCCCCGAACTGTAAGCCCCCTCTCCCACCTCTCACCTATCTCAGAACCAGATCTCCAAAAGTTATTTACAAATATTAAATTCTCCACTTGCCCCCTGGACCCCATCCCTTCGTCTTTCGTCAAATCATGCCTCCCGTCTCTCAGCCCCCTCATTTTAGAAATAATCAACTCCTCTCTCACCTCTGGTACCGTGCCCCCCGCCTTCAAGATGGCAACCATCACACCCATCCTCAAAAAACCAAACCTGGATCCTGACGACCCCAACAACTTTCGCCCCATCTCCAACCTTCCCTTTCTGTCTAAAATCCTCGAACGATCTGTCGCTGCTCAACTCAACAACCATCTCAACTCCAACTCCCTCTTTGACAAATTTCAATCCGGTTTCCGTTCCCAACACAGCACTGAAACAGCACTGCTCAAAGTCATCAACGACCTCCTCCTCACCTCAGATTCTGGCTCCCTCTCCATCCTGCTACTCCTTGACCTCTCCGCCGCCTTCGACACTATTGACCACTCCATCCTCCTCCACCGTCTCCAGTTCACCACTGGCATTACCGGCTCTGCACTCTCCTGGTTCTCATCCTACCTCTCCAACAGATCTCACTACATCGCCATCAACAACTGCTCATCCCGCTGCATCCCGGTCACCCACGGAGTACCTCAAGGCTCGGTGCTTGGTCCCCTCCTTTTCATTCTTTACATGCTCCCCCTTGGCCAGATCATCCACCAGCACGGTTTCAATTTCCACAGCTATGCAGACGACACTCAACTTTACCTCTCAGCCAAATCCATAACCCCTGCCACCATCTCCTCCATCACAAATTGCATATCCGCAATAAAATCCTGGATGTCCACAAATTTCCTCCAACTCAACTGCAAAAAATCAGAAATTATTATTATCGGCCCCAAGTCCCTCCTTTCCAATACCCAGCATTTCACACTCTCCATCGACAGCCACACCATCTCACCCTCTGCTCAGATCAGAAACCTCGGAATCATCCTTGATCCCACCCTTTCCTTCAAGCCCCACATCCGCAACATCACCAAAACTGCCTTCTTTCATCTTAAAAACATTGCCCGTCTTCGCCCATATCTTTCCTCCACCGCTGCTGAAACCCTGATCCATGCATTCATATCCTCCAGACTCGATTTCTGCAACAGTCTCTTATATGGCCTTCCTTCATCTGATCTCTAAAAACTACAATATGTCCAAAACTCCGCCGCCCGCCTCCTCACTCAGACCCGCTCCAGAGAGCACATCACCCCTGTCCTTCAAAAACTCCACTGGCTCCCTGTTAAACAGCGCATCCATTTCAAAATCCTCCTCATCACCTACAAAGCCCTCCATAACCTCGCTCCTCCTTACCTCACTGAACTTCTACAGCCCTACAGTCCCTCCCGCCGACTCCGATCTGCAGACTCACATCTCCTCACTCCCACTGTCAAATCTAAGCACCGAACCTTGGGGGACCGAGCTTTCGCCATCTCTGCTCCCACTCTCTGGAACTCCCTCCCCCTCCATCTCAGAAACTCGGACTCTCTAAACTCCTTCAAAAAACAGCTCAAAACTCACCTTTTCCTCCGAGCATTTTGACTCTTAGTTTAAACTCTCTACCCTTCTTCCTCACTCTTAGATATTTAGTTTGTGTGTCTGTCTAAACGTGTGTGTTTGT